AATGCCACTCTGGAAAGAATCTCATCTCATTGGACTACTACGGTACGAGTTTATCATAGAGGCCTCTTATAGGTTAGGTCGCGAATAGGCGATTTGATTTTCTTGGTGGTAGTTGTGAGAACCAGAGATGTGAGATATAGATCGCATCAACAAATGTTGCTGATCTTGCTTCCGTCCAGTATCGGTTTTATTGGTTCCTTAGAATTAGCAAGATTTATTCACTTCTCATTTTGGTGAATCTCGTACAAGACGAAGATGGATGGCATCCATCCGGTCAGTGGATCCTATAAATCTTGGGTTAGATTTGAAAGTATAGCTGTTCTAATGTCGATTGAAATGGGTAACTGAATATACTGTGATCTTCCTACCCACTTATCAGCATTCAATTAAACTTTGCATTCAGATTAACCAACAACCACAATTAGCGCATTTTTCAGCAGTGAAACGACAGTCCATCAGAAAAATGTGAACTTTAAACAATTTGGAGTTACTCCCTGATGATGAGAAACTGTCAATAGTTTTGGTTGGTATTTCAGAGCAGTCGCAGAGTGCTACCAAAAGATCGACAGAATGTCACGGTGAGCATTGTGGTGGTAGCGTCAGGGCGTGAAGGCGATTTCCTCAGCCAAGTTATTGCCTCATTACTTCAACTTCAATATAACACATACCCTCGAACTCAATCATCAACATCTTTTCCTTTTTCGTTAACACTTTGCGACGTTTCAACGCATCCGGATGCAGAAATTCGACGATTGTCAAAATTTGTGGGTGTTCAATGTTACATCGAAACTAACAATTTTTTTTTCATTTCCGAATTTCGTCAGCAGTTTTAAATCTGTAATGTATTTATTATTGAATACGAACAAACTGCAATTACAAGTAAATGGTGATGAATTTCATTGACTGTTGCGTGGAAATCTAGTGCGACAGTGAATTCGGAGTTTTTAGTATGGAGTGGAGTGATCATTTCAAAATTGCACTTCATAGAATGTTTGAAACCGACATTTGAGGAAATGTTAATGATTTGTTGGCATTATTCGTTCCATTAGTTCATATTATCCATTAATCTGATAATTTTTTAATCTTTTCAATTAATTAATTCTTTAATTTTAATTTAATTACATCTCATTAATCTTTTTAATTGATCCCAGGTACCTACCATAAAAGTCAAGAGCAAAAGCCATAAAAGTGATCGTTTGACGAACTATGCAGAAAAAATCAAAAAAGAATCAGACGATTATTGGAATTGTTTGAGGTTGACGAACAACGCGAGGTCTTTATTTCATTATTCATCCAAGAACAATCATTAATGTTGAATGCAGTTCAGAATTCCGCAAACGATTCAGGGAAATTCACGTTATTTTTCTTTCAGATACGTTCTTCTGATCGAAGACGATGCCATACCTGTACCTCATTTTATGCCTTTATTGAATTCCGTTGTTCAACAAATGGATTCGAATCCACAGATTGATTTTGTTAAGCTCTATCATCCGCGTTATCTAAGGAAAATTCCTTATTACTTCCAGGTTATCATCAGTTTAGTGCTCTCCCGGATATACCATAAATAAGTACGGAAAGTTGATTTTTATGATCCCGTTTTCTCCGCAAAGCTAAAAACCTATCGCAAACATTTTAAACACAGACAAATACGAAATTGGTGGTCAATGATACTATAATGTTTTTGATATCTTGAATATGAGTTAATCTTAATCNTGGAAAGAATCTCATCTCATTGGACTACTACGGTACGATTTTATCATAAAGGCCTCTTATAGGTTAGGTCGCGAATAGGCGAT